GATTCCCTTGACTTCATAGATTTTGATGTCTGTATCGAGTGTATCAAGGGAAAAAAGATCAAAATAAGGAGATTAGGTGCTAAAAGAACTTCAGACGTCTTAGAATTGATACACACAGATATTTGTGGACCATTCCGTACAGCTTCTTGGAATGACCAACAATATTTTATATCATTCATAGACGATTACTCATGTTATGAGTACCTATATCTCATAGATGAAAAGTCTGAGTTACTGGACGTGTTCAAAGCTCTTAAAGCTGAGGTTGAGAATCAACTCAACAAAATGATAAAAAACGTTAGGTCTGACCGTGGTGGTGAGTACTACGGCAGATGTCACGGTTTAGGTGAACAATGTCCTGGACCATTTGTTAAATACCTAGAGGAATGTGGAATTGTCCCACAATACACCATGCCAGGATCGCCTAGCATGAATGGTGTAGCTGAAAGACGAAACAGAACTCTTAAGGACATGGTAAGGAGTATGATTAATCATTCTACCTTACCAAAATCACTCTGGGGAGAAGCATTAAAAACTGCAGCTTATATTTTGAACAGAGTACCAACTAAGGCTACTGCTAAAACACTTTATGAACTTTGGATAGGCAGAAAGCCTAGTCTAAAGCATTTTTACATTTGGGGATGTCTAGTTGAGGCTAGGCCTTATAGGCCACATGAAAGAAATTGGACTCCAAAACAGTTAGCAGCTATGTTATTGGTTATTCTGAGCGATCCATGGGCTATAAATTTTATGATCCCATACTTAAGTCAATTTTTGAAACAAGAACCGCAACATTTTTTGAGGATGTTGAGTTTGGGGGGAGAAATAAGGTTAGAGACATTGTCTTTGAGGAAGAAGTTGAGGAAGGATCGATTTCGATTCCTACTATTGCTTTTGACAATGTACAGGTTTCTATACCTGTTGTTGATCAAGAAGAATATCCAGAACCTCAACAAGACAATGTTGAAGTACCTGCCATCCACAATGAGGTAATTATTCCAGAAATACAAACTCAACAACTTCAAAAGGCAATACCATTAAGGAGATCCACGAGAGAGAGGAAAAGTACTAGTTCGGATGATTTCATAGTATTTATCCAAGAACATGAGGAAAATAATGGAATGGTGGGAGATGATCCAATCAATTTCCATCAGGCCATGCAGGGTTCTAACTCTCAAAAGTGGATTGATGCCATAAATGAGGAGTATAAGTCTATGCAAGACAATAAAGTTTGGGATCTTGTCCCGTTACCTGAAGGTGTGAAACCCATTGGTTGTAAATGGATTTTTTAAAACCAAGAGGAATTCAAATGGTAATGTGGAAAGATATAAGGCTCGTCTTGTGGGTAAAGGCTTTACCTAAAAGGAAGGTATTGACTTCAAAGAGACTTTCTCTCCAATTTCAACGAAAGACTCTTTCAGGACAATTATGGCACTTGTTGCGCACTTTGACCTTGATTTACATCAGATGGATGTCAAGACGGAGTTTATCAATGGCGACATTGATGAGACAATCTATATGATGCAACCAGAAAACTTTGTGTCAGGAGACTCGAAGAACATGGTTTGCAAATTAAAGAAATCCATCTATGGGCTCAAGCAAGCTTCCCGTCAATGGTATCACAAATTTCATCGGGTCATTATCTCATTTGGTTTTGAGGTAAATGTCGTTGATGATTGTGTGTATCACAAGTTTAGTGGGAGTAAACATATTTTCCTGATTTTGTATGTTGATGACATACTGCTTGCCACTAACGATATAGGCATGTTGCACGAAATCAAGAGATTTTTATCAAAGAATTTTGAGATGAAAGATCTTGGTGACGCCTCTTTTGTATTAGGGATTCAGATACATAGGGATCGTTCTCGAGGTATTCTTGGATTTTCACAAAAGAGCTATATCGATAAAGTACTTAAGAGGTTTGGCATGCAAGACTGTAAACCAGGTGACACCCCTGTCGCTAAGGGAGACAAATTTAGTCTCAAACAATGCTCGCAAAATGACCTTGAAGCAAAGTAAATGCAGAAGATTCCCTATGCATCAGCTATTGGGAGTCTAATGTATCCTCAAATATGTACACGCCCAGACATAGCATTCATTGTTGGAATGCTAGGCAAATATTTAAGCAACCCTGGGATGGATCATTGGAAGGCAGCCAAAAGGGTTATGAGGTATCTAAAGAGAACAAAGAATTATATGCTCACATATAGCAGATCGGATCAGTTAGAGATCATAGGGTACTCCGATTCTGATTTTGCTGGATGCCAAGATAGTAGAAGATCCACATCATGTTATATTTATCTGCTAGCTGGAGGAGCTATTTCCTGGAAGAGTGCCAAGCAGACACTCATAGCTTCTTCTACCATGGCAGCAGAGTTTGTAGCATGCTTTGAGGCATCTAATCATGGAATATGGCTGTGAAATTTTGCCACTGGGCTGCGCGTTCTGAATGGCATAGAAAGACCACTAAAGTTGTATTGTGACAACAACTCAGCAATTCTATATTCTAACAACAACAGGAGCTTATCTAAGTCAAAACATATTGACATTAAATTCCTGGTTGTGAAGGAAAGCGTACAGAGTGGACAGATTTCTATAGAGCACATTGGAACAAACTCCAAGATTGCGGATCCGCTTACTAAGGAATTACCACCCAAGGTCTTTCATGAGCACACTGCTAATATGGGTGTTGTACTTCTTGAGGATATCATGTTTTAGTGGGAATTTGTATTCTTATTGCTTTATATATGTTTAGTTCTTTGGACACATTTGTGTATTTGGATATTTTCTGTACAGAAATAAAGTATTCAGTTCATTCCACTCTGTTATTATGTTCAGTATTGATCTCACTTAAGAAATAAGGTTGGACCAGTTGGAAATAGACATGTTTCGGATCACATAATATGTAATTTCCATGCTACACTCCCATAATCGATTTTTGTCATTTGGTTGTATGGGTGTACATGACCATTGATGGATTTAGTCACGCTAAATTTGACGAAAATCGCTTTGATCCTACATCGATGTAACTAATGGACGAGATTGTTTGGAAATACCCTTAATAACAATAGCACAATTTTGAGCTCATAAGTTTGTGCACATTTATAATGTAACATGTTTGGCCCAGTGAGAGATTGTTGGAAAAAATTTCAACTTTGGGGGCCACACATGTACATTTATTAGAATGTGTGGTGCTATTTTAAAGTAAATTTAGTCGATAAAGTGATCCATTAAATTTAATTTTGGACTAATGGATAATATATTTTATGGGATTAAAGTGTAGAGACCAAAATGTGTTGTTTTGAATTGATGAGGGGCTGATTTGAAATAACTTAAAGTTAATAACTGCCAATTACAGTTATTTTAATAAATGGTTATGGTCCCCAATTTGAACGTGATTTTTTTTTGTATCTCTGCATCCCCATCAACAGAGACTTTTTAAAAAAACAAAGAAAAGAAAATCACGTATCAATTGGAAGATCAAAACCCAATTAAAGCAGTCAGATTCATGGATCAAGGTATGTTTCCTCACTTTTCATTGTCTCTTTGATTTCAACATGAAATTTATGATTTTATGAAAGGATTTTATGAATATGGTTCCTTTCAATTTGTGCAACACCACATCTTTGGCATTCAAGGTAACGACCTCAGCTTGGTCATTTACCCTATGGAGTTTGAAGTAATTGTCGGTATTCATGTTCTCTTTAAACAAATTCACCCAAGGAGCATTTAATTTATTCTCCACATGCTTACTTGTAATTTTATCTTTTCGAACTAGTATCTTTATTACCAAGTGTTTAGGAGACATTTGGTGACTCGTAAATTGCCTCAAGAAGAACCTTTGAAGGCTGGCGCACCTCCTTGGACGTGGAGGTAAAAAGAGGGGCCAGGTTACAATTACTAGCTGGGCCGGCAGAAGTTTTAAGACTGAGCTAGGAATTCTTTGTCCAATCTGGAATCGGGTAACAGAGACCTGAAGCCCATCCTTATGGGCTTGTTTCTTACCCATCAACGAATGGAGAGACCAGGCCCATAAAGAGGGGATTTGGGTCGGGCCAGCAAAGAATCCAGAAAAAGAAATTGCAAAAGTCTACAAGGCAGCGAATTCAGTACACCAAACACTGACCCAAGGCAGAAATCTGAAAAGTAGGCTGCGTAGACAAAATTCAAAATTCAAACTTGAGTCAACCAACACCAATACATATACAATCTGCAATCTGGAAAACAACAAGAATACACAAGAGGGAAAAACACCAAGAACAAGAACTGGAGAATCCGGCAGTCAAGAATGAAACCCAAAACTAGACAGAATCAACCAAACAAGATGACGAACTGCTGGCTGCCCAAAAATACACCGAAAAATTGAAGTACCCAACACGAACTGCAAGATGAGCTCGAACCTGGTCAAACGAGCAAAGGACAAAGACAACAAAAAACACAAGCTGAAACCAAGCAGAAAGACCAGCCGAATCCACAGCTGCCTGAACCGAACAGCAAGAACCCAGCAAAACACATTCTCACCAATGTTAGCTGCAAACTGAAACTGATTAAATCACCCAAAATCTGGAGAATTTTGGACGACTAACCAGCAAAACCAAGCTATCTGAATGCAAATTCCAAGCAGGATTAACCTCCCAAATATGCAACCAATTTGACCAGCAACAACCAGAAACAAAGGTGAAGTAGAACTCCAACCTAAAACTTGAGAAAAAAATCGAATTGGAACAAGAAAGTGAAATTCCTAACTGCTGATTCGATTTTAACTAAGAGAATCCAAGTAAAATCAAATACAACAAGAAGAAATCCCACAAAATCAAGAGAGCTCGAAAATGCAAGAGGTACTAAAGGGAGATTTTCTCTCTCTAATCACTTGACTGACTGAGAACTCAACAAATGCATATGGGTTTACATCTATGTTCGATGGACAATGTTTCCACCAGCCAAACATCGATTTTGTGTTAGACATAAGCAGTTAGGTTGACTTATATGATCGAATTCAAATGTTGGATGGACCAATTGGAGGAGGAGGACGAGAAGCAGTAGAAGCTGATCAATATCAGGTTTGGTCTTTATTTTGATGTGCAATTTGTGTTCGATCGACAAAGAAGGAAGTTTGCATGTAGAAAGTGGGATCTCACTGGTCCGTAGCCAAGGAGTACTTTTAAGGTATATTTGATATGTTTTTGCTATTTCAACATTTCTCTTGGCATGATTTTAACATTATATTGTAATAATCGAAGATTAGTCATTTTTGTTTTTGAATAATTCTTGATCATTAAGTAGCAAATGAGCTAGCTTGAGCTGGTTTTTAGGCCTTTTAAGATTTCATTATATTGGAAATAATTATTTACTCTCTTGTTGATATGGTTTTTAATGTCGTTATCAAGTCTTTAATTTTTTTCTCCGTTATTAGACTGAAGAAGTATTTTTTTTTCAATATAATTTCTTGCATACTATTGATATAAATTACTTACTTATTAAAATTAATTATCTATTGTAAAACTTACTTTTTTTACTTAATAAAAATGAATTAACTTGCAGAAGTAAAATTATAAAGCTTTGTTAAACATGCTCTAAATCTTAACATGCACGTCACTAAACTTTTAAATGAACAAGAAACTAGGTTATTCATCTTTAATTATGAATACTCAAATCACTCAATTTTGTTTTATTTGCACCGCGATCAATTCGTTCACCATCGTGAGTCTAACAAAGTCTAATATTGACATGGTGTTAAAAATAATGGATGGTTGATGTGTACGAAGAATGAAAAAAATGAACGGCAATATTTTTCTTCCTTTGGTCAGTTGTTTAATGAGCAAAGAAAATGTATATTTTGTTTGAGCATTTTGTAAAAGTGTGTTTTAAGTTGGGTAAAGTGGAATATTGTGTATGCGGACGTGCACGTCGTCTCTCCGAGTCTCCGTGAATTTTAACATGGATGTTAACATATAAAGTTAGTTAGACCGATGACAAGATAAGAGTGATCATGGTTGGACACAAATTAAACATAAGAGACCCAAGTGCTCGAAATTAAAAATTAGTAACCTAGTTGCAAGTTTGAGGAAAATTCAATGATCTCCTATGTTAACGTCCCACTAAAAGACCACCATTCTTCCACTAATTGCAACTAAACGTGGGGGTACTCTTCTAACCGTTACCACTAATTTCTAGCTGTATGCCCATGGAAAAAACACATAGTTTCTTGTATTAATTGCGTGTAACATCTTGTCTCAAGATTAATCAAGATTTTATTTTCAGTCTACTTATTTTTATTTTAAATTTATCGAACTTTTTCAAATATTTAAACTAATAATTTTAGTTCAAGTCTCATAAAAAGGGATGAAAGCTGAAAAAAAAAATTATTATTATTAAATTGAACAAATATACTTTATATATTTCTTATACAAATTTTATAGAAATCAAGACTACTGCCCATTTTATCATGTACAAATTTTGTAATATACACTTTTTATTATCACTTAAACCTTAATAAAATGCTCTTAATGTAATAGAAAGTTTGCAGAAAAAGAAAATTAAAACATTGAAAGGAGAGCAAAAGGTGAGATTAACAACTGTACATAAAATGTGAGTGATTCTTTCTAGATTTGAAAAATTAATCCTCCATACCTGTAATCCCACCACTCCCACAATCAATCATCTCTCTACAATTCTCATCTCTCTCTCTCTCTACAATTTCTTCAATAGCTGGTACCTTGCTTTATAGACACCCTTTTCACTTTTCTAACTAATCACACTGATATTACTTCAACAAGTAAAGAAGCCATTGCAAAAAATTGGAAAAGAAAAAGCTTCGTT